TTGCCCACAGTCACACAATCAGTAATGGCAGACCAAGGACGTAAACCTCAGGATGTCACCCTCCAAAGTCCTTGCTCTTAGAACTGGAGGAGTTATTTATGAAATCTAGGTGCCTCTTCCAGGCTCACCTTCTCTAATACTTCAGATCAATACTTTGTTGATCTCTCTTCTTTAAAATGTCTTCAATACCCAAATCATCCAATGTAACACTTCTTCTGAGGACGGCTTCTTGTCTCTCCTAACTCACCATCAGTGGGTCTGGGGGGGTTTTACTCTTTAAATATCCCCCTATACTCAGCAGGCTTTCAGAAGAGCAATTTACAGGCTTTTAATCATTTTTCTTTGACTACCAGCTGATTAGAGTGCCACGTCTACCCGCAATACTACAACAAATTCAAGTAGCAAACATTTATTGAATTCTTAATATGCACCAGGTACTGTTCTAAGTACCTTAGGTGTAGCGACTCAAGAAATCCTGGCAGTAACCTATGAGCTAAGTCCTATTTTCACTCCCACTTTACAGAAGAGGAAACTGAACGGACCAGTGCATCAGGACTTGATGAGTAAGTGAGTGAATGCTTTGCTGATGGATAATATTGTTAGCAACAACCACCACACAAATACTTTATGCTTGCATCATGCAATACAGCTTTATGTAGATGATGTCATTGTCACTCACCATTACCAGACAGGCACCGATGTCTCCATTTTATAGAAGAGGCAACCACTGCTCTAAGAGGCTGTCTGTACCCCTGAGTAAACCCGTATTTGCTCTATTCTAACATCTCGGGGGCAAGGGAGCTGGGAGAACCAGGGGGAGAAAATCGCCTATATGCACAAAAGACACGCTATAAATACTAGGTAAATGAATAAAATCTGGAAATAGTAGAGACTGGCCAGGAATCCAGATCTTTGACTCTTAGTCCAGTGCTCCTTCTTTTATCCAAGATGTCAGGAAGCAAGTTTGGGACCCAGACTTTGACTTGGGATCTTCAGTAAGAGCAAGTGGCATTCGTTTTTAGAAAAGTACTTTACTTCTCTGTGTTTTCCACATTTTCAACAGTGAGCACATGCTACTTTCATAATCAGAAACAAACAAGCCAATGAACAGAGGAGGCAAAATGCATCCTCCTGAGTGGGCTGGGCTGGTAGAGGGCCCCTGGGGTGGGCAGTGGACTATCCGCCCATGGACTGTCCCCACAGGCCACCTAGCCTCACCTTATGGTTGGATGGGGGGAGCAGGACAGGGGAGGAATCCCTGCAGGTTTCCCTGAGGCCGTGAAAAGCAGGGACAGACACAGGAGTTTCCAGGCCTGTGAAACTCTCTGATCCTCCAAAAGGTAGGAACTCCCCCTCCCCCGCTCACAATAATGAGCCAGGGCCTGAGGGTTAGGACAACTGTGCAAGTGAGGTCCAAGAAACCTAAAAACCTTCTTGTGCCCCTCTTGGAATAACTGGCAAGGGGGGGAAGAATGACAAAGAGAACAAGGACCTACCTCATGGACTCACACACAATGTTCATTTAAATTCTGTTTTTCCCCCCAAAGCCACCCTTACCCCCATTCCAAAGCGGTAGGGAAGACAAGCATGATATTTATACAATTCTAGTCTCAGACACCCTCCTCTTCCTCCTAGGCCTATGGCCAATGAACTCTAGTTCCTGCTCCTAGATCTGTGTGTCCGTAGGATCCTATGGCCTCCTTACCCAGGGTCTAAGCCCCTGAGTTTTGCTATGGCCAACACCTCCTAAAAAGCCAGCTGCTCTCGAGTCTGAGCAAGCACTGAATTCCATTCCACCAACATTAAAGCTCCTACCATGTACTAGGTGTTTTGATGGGAGTCACAGATGGTGGGATAGGTCCTGAGAGTGGCCTGGGAGCCTGCAGGCTAATGGCAGATCACACTCCTGTGCCAGGTTGGGTGAGGGGACTCCCAGGAGGCTGGGGGATTAAGGGGTGGCTTTTCCTTGGAGGTGCATCAGTAGCTTTGGAGCTAGTGTGTGAAGGTGAAGATGGAGTCCTATACAAAGGAATGGGGGAGGCACACAAGTCTTGTAGAAAGGGTAGAGGTAGCAAAATGCTGGGTAAGTTTAGGAAACAGGCAGCTTGGTGTGACTGGAAAGGGGGCGGAGGAACAAGGTTAGAAGTGGGTTATGGGTAATTGGCCAGAACAAGGACCTTGGTGTTCCACTAAGGAATTTGGGGTTTATCAGACAGTGTGGAGGTTGTCGTTGAAGGTTTCTGAGCAGAGCAGGTGGGCTCTGCGCTCCGGTCTGTACTTAGAAAGATCACATTAGCAGAGGAGAGGGCTTGGAGACTGGGAAGCAGGGTGCTACTCTAGGGCCTAGTGCAGGGGATAATGGGGCGCTTTAACTACAGCCATGGGTAGGACCAACTAGATAATCTGTGGGGTCCAGTGCAAAAGGGAAATGCAGGGCCCCTTGTCCAGTGAGCATTAGGAATTTGCAAAAGAGGGACAGCAGAGCATGAAACCAGGCATGGGGCCCTTTTAAGGACGGGGTCCTGTGAAGCTGCCCCGGTCCCACACTCACATAACAGGAGGCCCTGACTACTGGACTGGGAAGGGCAGGGCAGAAAGAGAGATCTAGAAGGCAGAGTCCTGGGCCCTGGTAATCTGCTGGATGTGGGAAGTGAGGGAGCAATCCAGCTGACAGATGACCTTCCTATAGTGGTTGCCAGGCCACCACACTGCTTACTAGACACCCCCTTAGGTGGCCCGTGATCAACTCTAATTTACTAATATGTCTAAACTTCACCCCCCCCCACCCTGCCCCCACTTCTTCCTCCTGCTGCCCAGCCAGATCTGTTTCTGCAGGGTCCCTAGCTACAGGCGTCCCAGTTACCCCAGTTTAAGACCCAGGGTCACCCTCTACTCCTCTTTCTCTACCCCAGCCCTTCTGGAAGGTTACTTCCTAAATGTTTCTCCCGTCTGTGTGGCCTCTGCAGGCGCTGCTATCACTGTCAAGTTCCCAGCCGTTATCAGCTCGGCCTGGATTACCCTCGGAAGCCTCCTATCTATCTGCCTTTCTGACTCAGGTCTGGATGCCACACCCACTCTCCAATAAAACATCTGTCCTCCACCGTGCTGCCTCAGGGAGGTCAACAACTGCTCACCTGACCGAGTCACCAAGTAAGACCCCTCACCCTGAGGCTGCTCCAGCCAAAGGATAAAATCAAAATGCCTTACATAGCACTCAAGGCCCCAGGTCACCTGACCCTGCTTCATTTTCTAGTAAATGCCAGAAGTGCCTTAGTTTCCTACACATCACCATGCTGGCTGTTTTTGTTTTGTTTTCTTTACTTCGAGCAGTTTCCTCTGCTTAGAATGCCTTCCGCCCTACCCCTCCATGGCCTGGCTAACCTCAGTTTATTCTTCAAAGTTTGCCTTGTTCTCTTCTGCTCTGAGAGGCTTTCTCCAGCCGCCTCCCAGCTCCCCAATACACATACACCCTGGATGGTCTTCCACACTGACTACAGGAGCTTAGGCCTGGGGCTGGGCCAGGTCTCCTGTTTGGGCTGGTGGCAGCTGGAGCTGTGAGTCCTGCAGGCTTCGGTGTCCAGCACCCAATCCAGAGCCTCCCATGTAGGCGTACCTGTGCGTCTCTGGGCTAGATGTCTGGGGGTGGGTGTCCCTGGGGACACTGGCAGAGCAGATTTCAGGGAAGGCTGGCACATACAACCCCAAAAGAGAAAGAAACTCCCCCCATCACATCTTCATTAAGACCTCCCTGGCAGGGCAGCACCTCCGGCTGAGCACAGCTGTGACCCAGGGCAATGCGTGCTGGCACGTGTCCAGTTGACTGCATCTGATTTCAGAATTTGATTTCTGCTTCCTTCTAAAAACCTCATTCCCTGATGACGGCAGTAGCCCAGCCCCTCTAGTGGAGGCAGGCTGTTTTCCACTAAGCCACTAAGCACCCCCCCCCCCTCAGCTAACAATAAAATAGTTGGTCTCCAACATGAGGGTGGAGACGTGTTTCCCTCCCAGGTGTCCCTGCAGCTAGCAGAACATGGCCCAAAGCTGACCCTCAATAAATCCTTGAATGGGTGACCGGTGTCCAGTTCCCCAAGACCGAGGATGGGAAGCCCGAATCTGCTGGGGACTGGTGGGGGGCAAATAGCCCGAGATTGTACTTGATCCACACATAATCCCCCCAAATCCAGAAGCCACCTGGACAGTTGGCTGGACTGAGCTTCGACAATGGATGTATGATGCTGCTGTAGCTGGTTTCACGACAGGTTTTCCAGGGGCCAGAAAACGGCTCCTTGAAAAACAATTATTCTGATGATTATTGGAGTGTGACCGAGAAAAGGACTGTTTACCCTTTAAGGAGAGAATTCATTTGGAAAGATTAATTGCTCTTCTCCCTCCGTTTCTATTGGTAGGTACTTTTATTGTGAAAAATCGCATACAGAAAAGTGGAGAAACAGTGTAACAAACACCGTGGTACCCATGACCAGGCTTCAACTACACCAATACAAGCCCTATTCCAACTCATCTAAAAGCCACCCCTTGAAATAATCCCAACTATCACGTCATTTCACGCGTAAAGACCGGCAGGGATCAGAATTCTGATCAGAATTTCCGATTCAGCTGGGCACAATGGCCAGGGCTCCCCTCGCCCTGCGTAGCACAGTGCCTGGTGCAGCCCCCAGCAGGTTCCGGACCGACGTCTATGAAACTCAAACCCCGATCGATAGCGCGGCACAGACGAGGCCTCCTCCGCTCCCTCCTCTTCCCGCACATCTCGGCCTCGTGGAGTTCCTGACACCACGGCGGAGGCCCTCGGTGATGCGCGAGTGAGTCTCTCCGCGCGAAGCCACAGAGAGGACAAGGGAGGAGCCTTCCACTTCCTCTTTCTCCCGCTGACTAATCCTCGGCGCCCTCCCCGCGCGTCCGGCCCCCGGGGGCGTGGCCCAAGCCCGAAGGGGCGGGGAAACACCCATATTCGGCCTTATATGGGCAGCCACGTCACAGCGCTCGAACTCCACTTAAGACGCGGCGCTGCAGGCGGAATCCCCGGCTTCTGGGGCGGCGAGTGGTCTGGCAGGGCGCCGAACGTGTGGGGCGGGAAAGAAGAGTTGAGCGACCTCCCGGGCGCCGGGCTCCGTAGGCCGGCTGCAGGCCCGCAGGCCGCCCTCCCGCGCCTCGCCAGTGCGCACCCTGGCCGTGAGCACCTGCGCGGCGAGGGGCCGCTGGGCGGCATGAAGGTCACGTCGCTCGACGGTCGCCAGCTGCGGAAGATGCTGCGAAAGGAGGCGGCGGCGCGCTGCGTGGTGCTGGACTGCCGGCCTTACCTGGCCTTCGCCGCCTCCAGCGTGCGCGGCTCGCTCAACGTCAACCTCAACTCGGTGGTTCTGCGGCGAGCCCGCGGCGGCGCGGTGTCTGCGCGCTACGTGTTGCCCGACGAGGAGGCGCGCGCGCGGCTCCTGCAGGAAGGAGGAGGCGGCGTGGCTGCCGTGGTGGTTCTGGACCAGGGCAGCCGCCACTGGCAGAAGCTGCGCGAGGAGAGTGCCGCGCGAGTCGTGCTCACCTCGCTGCTCGCCTGTCTGCCCGCTGGCCCGCGGGTCTACTTCCTCAAAGGTGAGCGGGTGGGGGTCGACTGTCCCCTGTCACCCTTCTCCCCAGGCTCCTCACGCCAGGCGCCCTGCTCGGCTCTGGAGCCCAGGAAGTCTCCACCTGCGGGAGTCGACACCCGGGCTTGACGCGCGCTCGGGAGGGCACTGCCGGTGTGTAGCGCTTCCCTCTCCCCACCCGCGTTCCTCGAAAGCGCTTGACAACTTGTCCCCCTGGGTGGGTGGGGTGGCTACGCAGCTGGGGATGCTGCTTGTTAGTTGTTTGGGAGCTATCAGCCCTTGCTGGGCGCGGGCCCTGAATTCTGGGCCCTGGATCCTGGCATGGGCTTCGCCGGCCTTCGCGGAGCCTGGGCTCTGAGCATTTTAGACATAGACATATCCGGCGAGATCAGCAGGTCGCGACCACCCCCCCAGGAGTGTGGCGCCGCGATGTCCCCACTCTTCCCGCCTGGACAATTAACATACTTTAGGCTGTGTCTTCACTGACCCCTCTTGCCTTTTTGACCCTGGCGAGTCCCTCCCCTTCCTTTCCTTTTCATTTTATTGCTTTCCTCCGGCTCCCCTTCCCCCCTCCAGGCCTTTCTCTAGATTAAGTTGGAGCTAACAGCCTTCCCACCCTTTTCACTTCCGCCCTCCCTTTCCCTGGGATCATCCTGGGTCTTGAGCTGAGCCGGTTGGCTGGCGAGCCAGGACCTAGGAGGGGTGGTGGAGGGCATTCCGTCGCTTTTGGTTTGAGCCTCCCTTTACACCTGCTGAGGAGATGACTTTGATTTCCTGTGGAGGGTGGGTGATTAACTCTAAAAGCCAGAGAATAGATTTCTGGATTATTTCCTATAACAACTCCCTCCAGTCTTATATTTGAGTCCTTAGCCCGCAGTGCAGAGTTGAAAGCTCAGATCAGGCCACACCCCAAAGCCCTGCCCACCCAAAAGCCTGGACCTTAAGATGTAGCAGGGATGTAGTTCAGAACTCAGGTTGGTGAGCTGAGAGTAAGGGCCCTGTTTTAAAACCTTGCACTTTTGGGGAATTTTGCACACCTCCAGGCCAGGAGATTCCTGAAGCTTCCGCCCCTATTAGCGCCCGTGCTGGTTCCTGTTAGGGAGATGACAAAGGCCTACGATGGTAATCTTCCTTGTCAGCCAGCCTCAGCCCCCAGCTGATGATGGAGGGCTGCCCTCCGAACTTGCAGAGGTTTCTACACATGGCCCCTGATTTCTCTTCCTGATGTGGTTTTTGTCTCTTGTTGTTACTTCCACCTCCCCAGTAGCATGAAAGATGTGTTTCAGGAAACCCCTCCTGGTCTTATCTCTGCTCCCCACCCCACTGGGGCCATGCTGACAGTTTAGAGGTTGTTGCCACAGGAAGTAGGTAGTTCTGTAGACTTCCATCTCAGAAAAAATTAATGTGTAAATGTTTCTAAAGGAAAGAGACACATATGTAAAAATTTGAACACAAAGCCTTCCCAATGAAAAGGGGGGTTTCTGCACACCCTTAGAACCTAGTTTTTTCCCAGAGACAGCCACCAACTATTTCCTGTTCATCTTTAAAGTTAATTTTGCATGAGTATCCTTGAAAAATAGGATTTTGTACATTTCCTGTCCCTGCTTCTTTCACCCAACTAGATCTTGGGAGACTTGTTCATATCAGAGCACTCATGCCTAGTTCACTCTTTTTAAGAAAAGATTTTATTTATCTGTTTTTAGAGAGAGGGGAAGGGAGGGAGAAGGAGGGAGAGAAACTTTGATGTGCCAGAGAAACATCAGTGTGTGATTGCCTCTCGCACGCCCCCAACTGGGGACCTTGCTCACAGCCCAGGCATGTGCCCCAACTGGGAATCAAACCAGTGACCTTATACTTTGCAGTATAGCACCCATCCCACTGACCCACACCATTCACGGCTGGTTCATTTTTAAAACCAGTCCCCTAGTGATAGCTGGTAGGTTGCTGCCAGCCTCACTCTGAAACAATGTGGTGGAGTATATTTTTATCCAAATGTTTTTGCACGTGCATTATCTTTCAGTAAATTTGGAGGCTTGCCTGGTTGAAAGTTACGTGCATTTTAAATTTCAGTAAAAATTGCTTGATACTTCTGCTTATAACACTACTAAACTTAAAGTTGTTGCCAAAGAAAAATTTTATTTCCTTACCTAACTCATGTCCACATATGAGTTCAGATTTAATCTAGTGGTATCTCCGATTTTAGGGGGACAGTGCCTTTTGTACTCCCTTAATCTAGCCCTCGTTCCCCCTCCCATCACCAAAAACCTGTATTCAGTCGTGAGTTGATGACCAAATGGCTCTGTTGGTGCATATTTATATATAGCGTCCGTGCACTTTGCTCTGCTCCCCTGGTAATGTGATGGTGATCAAACACAGAATCACTCTGAAGAGGGTTGAAGCAGCCAAAAGAATTGCCAAGGCTCTCAAGTGAGGCACCAGAGAGGAATGTTCTGTCTCTCCACGCCTCTGATGGGAGTGGGTGAGAGACAAAGACCATCTAATCTAGAGGACTCTTCCTGACCCCAGCTTGAAGAGGCAGGGCCCTGTTTATCTGTCCCGCAGCTACACTGAGACTCAGTGTCTGCCTGTCTTATTTTGTCAACAGGCATTCAGGACCCAGCCTACACCCGCACCTCCTTTCCGTTCCCCTGGCAGTCAGCTCTTAAGTGCTCTATTTAAAGTCAAGAGATGCGGTAGCCTGAAGGCTTCTATTTCCCAAGCCTTCTCCTGAAGTTTGGGAGGGTCTGGGCTACTCTTACTCCAGATTCCCATACCATATCACTCATTTTGTCTCCTGGAACCCCAAATGTTGAGGCACAGGCATGGGAAATGATTTGCTAACTTCCTCTTCCAAGGAAGCTCTGGGTCAGTGTAAGTGTGGCTTCTCTCTGCCTCCTAGGAGAGAAGGGGGCCATGGGCAGTGGTTGGTAGGGAGGGGTACACTGAGCCACAAATACCTACCTCCATCCCCTACTGGCATGGCCTTCGGTCATGACCAGGAACACGGTCCCTGTGGAGGACCAGAAGCTCGTCTAGGGAGGCCCAGTGGGCTATTTGTTGAAGTGACTACAGAGGAGATCCGGGTGTACTAAATGGGGGCAGGGGCAGTTCCAGCTAGCTGAGAGGAAGCAGTAATGGCAAGGTGACTCATTCGAGGAATTGGCTGCTTGGGAGGGAGCTGGAGACTGCCATGTAATCCATTAATCATTTGTCTACTGCAGGGGTCTTAAAAAACCACCATGTGCTCTACTGTGGGGCTGTCACAAAACCAAAAGACAAAAGAAAAAGGGGGGCTTTTGGAGAATCCATGGCCTCAGAATGCATATCGTTAATTGATGATTTGACACCCACATGAATTCTCTAGGCCAGAAAAGACAGAAGCAATGGTCTTTTTATCTTTCTTTTTTTTTGGAGGCTATAAGAATTACCTTTGGTCCCTTTGGATTTGGATTGGAAGCAAAGGATTTCCCCAGGCCCGGCTGCCTGTTCACCTAGCATTCCTCAGCATCCTGAGGCTTCCGAGGCCGGGTTTTTACTTGGTTCTTCCCCACTGGGTATACTGGGCCTAAAAAAGCTTATTTTTATATACATACACTCACATTTTACCTTAAGTGATCCATTTGGAAAGGTTTAAATGTAATATTAAGAAATTTTACAGAATTGTGCCTGGCTGGTGTGGTTCAGTGGATTGAACACAGGCCTGCAAACCAAAAGGTCACCCGTTCGATTCCTAGTCAGGGCACATGCCTGGGTTACGAACCAGATCCCCATTTGGGGGCGTAGGAGGGGCAACCAATCGATGTATCTCTTGCATATTAATGTTTCTCTCCCTTACTTCCCTTCTCTCTAAAAATAAATAAAATCTTTTTTTTAAGTGTTTTTACAGAATTGTACCTGTCAGTACAGTAGTCGACTAATCCGTTTGAGGACATGTAGGGAACAGAAAGCTCAGGAGGGAAGGGTAATAAGGAAATTTAAAGGGAGGGTACCTACCCTTAGGAAAGGTTAATCAGGAAAGGTTTTACTTGTTGGGGCTGTGGTTTAAGTTCAGAAGGCCCATTCCTCCAGTTTGGTTTGGAAGGTAATAACCTAGACTGATCATTCTGATTGGACCTATGGAGAGAATTGTTAGAAGTGTTCTTAGCTGTTTTATTACCCTGAGTTAAATCTCATGTTAGCCTCCATTCTCTTATGAATGGAGGAGGTTTCCTCTATTATTCCAGTTAAGAGGGCAGGCTGGGGATGAAATGGACTCGTTTAGGAGTCTCTTTCTTCTTGAAAATTAATGAAATTCTGCATAATCACACCTGCATTTTAGATAAACAAGAGACAAAAATGGCTTTTGTTTTCTAGAGGGATTTGGTTAATATTTGCCAGAAGTCAGCTATATTTCCTTTCACAGTTTAAGCTGCTTCTGATAGACACAAAAAGTTAATTATTGCCTCTCTGACCTATAGCTTTTTAAAAGAGTGTGTGCTTGTCTATGTGTGTATGTAGAACCTATTTATATACTGTAAAACTGTTAGCTGGTTTGGCTCAGGTTTTCATATGACCAAAATCTACATTAGCCTAATATTTTTGACTATTTCACATTCAGGGTGTTGATTAATTGTGGGTGTTTTCTGACAGCCTCAGAAATCTATGCTTATATCCGTCTTGTTTTGTTTTGTTCTGTTTTGTAGGAGGATATGAGACCTTCTACTCAGAATATCCTGAGTGTTGCGTGGACGTAAAACCCGTTTCACAAGAGAACATAGAAAACGAGACTGCCCTCATCAGCCAGTGTGGGAAACCAATGCTCAGCATCAGCTACAGGCCAGCTTATGACCAGGTACGTGGTGAGGAAGCGCAGTTGTGGCGCCTGGCCCCCATTCCTTCCTCGGCACCCCAACTCTTCCTCTCCCGGCTCAGCAACCTCAGTTGCTTCTTTTGTGGATCAGACTTTTGGCAGAGCCTCTAGCTTTAGAGAGCCTCTGCTGCTTGCCAACTTGAGTTTCCATCCAAGAGTAAATGGGCTTCCGTCCAGCAAACAAGCTGACGAGAGCAAATGAGCCACAGGATGCTTGACAGCTTCTGGAGAAAAGAGGAAGTGAACAGTGCATTATTATTAGCTGGCCTGGGAGGTGCAGAGAAGCGTCGAAATATTGGTTTAGGTTTCCCTGAAGACTTTTCAGAGCTGACTTTCAGGCTTCCTGTGTTGATCTTCTCTGTAATTGTTCATGCTCTGCAGTTGGCGCATGCTAACCCAGCACCTCACTGGTGATTTTTAACTGAGATGACATGGGGGTGGAGGAACGAGGAAGGATGGCTGTAGAGAAACTCCGGTTTGGATGGCTGAGCAGAGTTGTCTTAAGGGTTTTTGTTGCTTATAATTTCATTAATTCTGGAACCAGAGGAGATCAAGAGATACTAGGAGGATTATATATTGCTACTAAGGTGTGTTTTTTTTCCTTCAAAAAGTTGTACTTTGTGATAACTCAATAAAGGAGGTGTAATGTAGAAGGGAGGAGGGTGAGGGAAAAGGCAGAAAAGGACTCAAATCTGGCTGAAACCAAAGAGCAAAACCCACCTTCCCACTTTATAGAGGAAAAAAAGCTGTTCTACGGCTCGTGAGATGGTGGCTTGGTGGAGAATCCTATAGCTGGCTCCCTGGCAATGTAGACCTGGAACCAGTTCTGACTCCCTTCTCTGGTTCTTTTCAGGACCTCATTCTGTTTTCCGCACACCTTCTTTTGGAAAAGGGCTCTTCTCTTCTAAGCACCTGACTTGTGGGAGGAACTTTTCAAAATTTCCCCCCCAAATATGAACAAACCCAAAATCATAAGAAGGAAGATTTATAGATGCTGCCTAGAAATGCCAGCTGCCTGCCATGAGCAGAGAGAGTCCTGGGGATAAATTCCAAGTGAAGCCCAGTGACCTTTCCTTGAATGGGATCATAGGTCAGAAAGCCTATTAGCTTGGCAAGGTGCCAGGGTTTTATTTTGTTTGTTTTCCTTTATTAAAAATACACTCAACGAATCCTCAGTTTACAAGCTATGGGCATCCAGCTGAGCTGGATTTCTCTTTTTGTTTATTGTTTGGTTTGTTTTCCCCCCTTGTTTCTCAGAAAATGAAAGAGAAACAAGAGTTGACAGGATGTTGTAAAAGCGTTGCAGACCTTTGGCCCGTGGGGAGGACCGGGGAGGCCCTGCTATGTCTCCAGGGCTCATCTGGGGAAACCCCTAGCACTACTTCCTAGAAGCCAGTCGAGATCCTGTTAATCTTTGGGGTTTCTGAGGGCCCCTGGCTGCTTCCTCTTGCGTCTACACAGAAGATCCAGAAAAGGAAAGAAACATGGTTTCAGGGATATGTTGGGCTAAGCTCCAGAAGAAATTGGATAGGATCCCAGGCTTGCTGTGTCCCCGGTTCCCAGGCACTAAAGTGAGGATGAGATCTCCCTAGTTACATCTACCTAAAGTGCTAAGCCCAGGGGCCGGCCATAGTAAGTCCTAATAAAAATAGCGGCTGTTACTGTTACTACCTTTTACAAAATCCTCTATCACAGTGATGTTCAACCTGTTTCATCTCGTGGCATACATAAACTAGTTAACTGAAATTTTGTGGCACACCAAAACATATTTTTTTGTTGTTGATCTGACCAAAAAATAGGTATAACATTGATTGGTTTACAAATAATAATAATAATAACTGCTTTTTTGTCCCAAAGTGACTTTTTAAAAAATCAGGTGGCTATATTTGTATATAGATTCCTGGTATCAAGAATTAACCAATCAGATGTAATTTTATTCTGAGATGTGACCAATAAGATGCAATTCTATTATGTGAGCTATGTACTTATGGGTCAAGACAGGGCATTCACAGAAGCCGGCTATTGTTGTTTTGGCTGTTGTCATTTTTTTTATTTGACAATCTAAGAGAAAAGAAGTTAGTGCCCCTGATTAAATGTCAGGGATTGTGTGTTTTAAAAATCCTTGCGGCACACAAGTTGGAAATCTCTGCTCTGAAACTTTCTTCCAAGTGGCCAAACTGGTCTTTGCTTAAACACTTGACTTCTCTGGAAAGAAAAAGCAAACACTACATGTGGGGGAATGTGAGTCGCCTGCTGCTGGTCCCTGTCTCGTGGCCCTTTTCCTATTATGGGTCTGGCAGAGCTTCCATTCTACTCTTATTCCAGGACAGGAAATGGAAACACAGGAAGCGGATGGATGATATGGAAGAGGCTCCCAAAGATACAGCCACTGTCCCTCCAGCCCATTGTTTTCCTCTAAATCTCCAGGGCCTCCATTGTGCCAACTATCACAGGCCTTTCTCCCTTTGTTTCTTTCTCTCTTCTCTCCCTCTCTTCTTCCCTTCCTCCCTCCCTCCCCCCCTTCCTTTCTTAAGGTTGAGAGTATTTATTTATTTGTGTACCTGGGAGGCTGGCCCCTAAACTTAATTGTCTAGCTCTGAGCCTTGGCTGTGAATGGGTGCAAGAATGGGTCCTGGAGCCCCTGTCTAGTGCAGTGGAACCCGGTGACCAGAGGTGGGATGCCCCTGAGTCAGCAGCTGCCAACAGTAGCAGAATGAGAAAAGAAGAATGGAGTCCCAGAAATGTTAAAACTGCCAGAGTCTGACCAGCTAGCAATTCCTTTTCGCTTTGCCTTGGGGTGGGTGATCTCTGGTTGTAATGGGGGTCCTCCTTAACAAGAAAGCTGGTGTTGGGATGATCTCCCAAAAGGCAGAGGATGTAAGCCTCTCTCACCAAAACTTTCTGCCCCACATGAAGAAGATCGTGACTGGGAGAAGCCCCTCTGCTCCCGGCCTAACAGCTTTTCCTTGTTTGAGGATTCTGGGTAGATAGGGCTCTTTTCACTTCTGACAGGAATGCTTTTAGAGGGAGAGGGAGCGCATTTTTAACATCTCTGAAAACGGATGCATCTTACCATCAGCAGTGTCCCGAGTTCGATGAAATACACTATGTAAAACATCAAGACTGTGAGGGGTGGAACTCACCTCTTTGAACCCTTCTCCGTCTTATCTAGAAAGAAACCGAAGCTGCCCCAAGTTGAAGGGCTTGCCCTGTGCTTTCAGGTCAGCTAGAACTTTAACACAGGCGTCTGCATTCCCCCATCACACCACACTGCTCCTCATCCTTGTCAGCACGGGGCGGCTCCTGGCCCTTCCTACCTCCTTGTTATGTGTAAGAAAATAGAAATCTTTGTTGTCACTGAGTCACCCCATGTAGGGTAGAGAGTCTGCCAGGAGGGAGGCTTCACTCAACTCTTGGTTGAGTGGCCTCTGAACTCTCTACCTGGAAACCAGGCAGGGAACCTCCCACCTTAAAACAAATAGGTCGGGGTTGTTTTGTTTCCTCAAGTGAGCAGGCTGATCCAATATTTCCTGCTTGTCCTCTGCCCCTGTTTCCAGGGCGGCCCAGTTGAAATTCTTCCGTTCCTCTACCTTGGAAGTGCCTACCATGCATCCGAGTGCAAGTTCCTCACCAACCTGCACATCACGGCCCTGCTGAATGTCTCGCGGCGGACCTCCGAGGCCTGCATGAGCCGCCTACACTACAAATGGATCCCCGTGGAAGACAGCCACACAGCTGACATTAGCTCCCACTTTCAAGAAGCAATAGACTTCATTGGTAGGTTCAGCCATTCCCCCTCAACTGTTCTGGGTGCCTTGTAGGGACACAAGTTCTTGGATTTTGACGTACTGATGGTGGCCACCTTTGCGGAGAAGGAAAGTGTCTTCCATATGTAGCCACCAAGAGTTGGAGCCAAGAAGAGATGCAGTCACCCAAAAGGCAGCGGGGAAGGTTTGAGTTGCTATTGATAGTAGCTTTAATTCACAAGATAAATTAATACAGTTTCATGGCAATACTCACTACCATTTGTGTTATGGTTTCTAGCTGGGTGGGAAGCAATAGCGCATTCGTGCGAAATCTCTACGCAAGGGAAGCAGGCAAGAGAGATCATCCTATCTGTGCTTCTCCATAGGCTGGGATATTTTTAAAAGCAAACAGAAGGATTGAGAGAGCATTACTTATGCACGAAGCCCCAAGGGCCCCAGCGGCTTTCCATACTTTTTAGCAAACTGCTTTGGGGGCAATTTGTTTTGCATTTCCAGCTAATTTTGGATTACAGATAGCACCTGACTCAAGCTCCACACTTTGTGCACAGAAAGGGTGGCATCTTTTGCATCCTTTCTCTAATTTTGTGAATCAGTTACCATTTACTCTGTTGTGTAGGCCTGATAACCTCTGTTCACTGTCTGTTCCCTTGGCCTTGGATTTCCAGCTCCTCCATGTAGCTTGATTATTCTCCCATTGGACATCCTCTCTTTCTCCCATTGTTCTCTCTGGAGACTGAGCTTTTTTTCTGCCTCAAATTTGTGAGCACCATTCCCCAACCAAATGGTCTTGCCTATCATTCTGGAGTTCTTCCCCTTGAACATGCATGGTTGTTACAGCTGAGGTGTGATTTTCCCATATCTTGTTCAGAAGGATCTTGGAGGGGAAAGGCATGTGTTAGGCATAGCAATACTTAGTGCAGGTAGCAATTAAAGGTCTCCCTTCAGCCACATAATGGCCCTCTTTATTCATCACACATGACTTCTTTTCCATGGGGAACCGTTGAGAAACTCACTGGAGGCCTATCTTCCTTGTCCTCTGAGCCTCTCAGCTGAGGTGGTCCCTTTGGAGCCTCAGAGAGGCAGCCTAAATGATGGGTTCAGGGTGGGAAAGCCTTGACCTGTTCTCCCTCTCCCTGGGAATACCTTGCTCTTCTCAGCCTGATAGCTATTCAGTGAGGTCATGAAACCCGCCCCCGTGCATTTCTCAGAAAGCTCCCTCCCCATCCTGTGTGTGCATTGTGTCTGTTTGTGTACATAACCACACACACCCACGGTGTTTTGAAAGCACAGGATGCTTTCCCCCAGTCTCCTTGCCCTGCTGATGGAAGGAGGGACTGAAGCTGAGCCATGCCCTGACCCCTTCCAAGGGAAAGGCCATAGGAGGGCCACATGGAAAGCAACGCCCAAGGGGTAGAGTGGGATCCAGATGCAGTGCACTCTAGGCCTTCTGCTTTTTTGGATGTGCCATTGGGCCAATTAAAAGCTAGACAGATAGACTACAAGGAGGCCAAGAGAGGAACAAAGGAAAATGAGAGTCACAACCCTATAATCCTAGGGACTTGGGGTCCCATTTGAATGAGTTTACAGGGCCTGTTTTTTTCTTTTGAGTCAGAGACTGAATAGGGAGCACCTCTAATGAGCTATGGCAGGGTGTCCTTAGATGGGGAAGCTCCGGGGTTCCTTCTTGACTCCTCAGAAACTTGATCTTTCACATCTTGCAGATTCATTTGCAAACTCCTTGAACTTGAGGAGGTAGGTAGGAGAGAGGGCTGACTTTTTATTTGCCCTTCAAAAATCTTAAATGTTTTTGCATATCATGCCTGCAGTGTGCCACGTACATCTAACTTCCTGTGATGTAATTGTTTCTTTCGTACCAAGAGAGCGACTTGGAAAGATTGTAGTTTGTGGTTTTTATTTTTACTTGATGTGTTTTATATGTTTAACCTTTTACCCCTTCCCATTTTTAACAGTTGTAGCTGTTAAAAACAGTTGGGGGACAGGAGTGGAACAGAAAAGGAGGGCACCCTCCCTTTTATCATACTGAGCTAAAGATTACTAACTGGTGGGGGTAGCTTTATAGTAGTGACTCCCATTGTTGTGCAAGATGGAGTTTGCGAAAGCCATTTATGTCCTCCGCCTAGTAAGCATCACTCAGCCAGGGCTACAATTAGTGGCTATACACTATATATTGTATGTTTGGTAGTGGGAACCCTGGGAGCTGGGCCAAGTGTCCTGCCCTGGCACAGCTAGACAGGGAGCCTGCCTGGGGAGGCCAGGAGGTGTCTACCAAGATGGGGGGGGGACTAGGTCATCACCATTACCACTGAGACATGAAGAGACAGGAATTGCTTTTCTAAGTCGGTCTGAGCCTGGGACCTTCTCAGAAAAATGCACATACCTGATGAAAATTTTCATGCAATTTTAAAGCTTGTCCAATGCCCTCTTGAAGACCATCCAGGTTAAGATGGCATCCCTAGGAAGGGATTACCCCAGGTCTAGAACGTTCAGTGGTAGAATCTGTGCAGGTGTCCTGGAGCACTGAAAAGCAGCTCTGAGGATCAGGAAGGGTCCTACATGGCAACAGACGCTATGGGACCCCAAAAGCTCCGTCCTCACCAGTGGGGACTGAAGTCTGGCAGGAGCCCAGTGTAGGACCACAGCGGTTGAGCAGGCATGACAGTTTGATAACTAGGTCACTTCTGTGTTTAATTCTGGTGTTCGGCATTGTCTTTGGGCTCTAATCCCAACTCCCACTGTCTTTTCTTCCTTCCAGACTGTGTCAGGGAAAAGGGAGGCAAGGTCCTGGTCCACTGTGAGGCTGGGATCTCCCGTTCACCCACCATCTGCATGGCTTACCTCATGAAGACCAGGCAGTTTCGCCTGAAGGACGCCTTCGATTACATCAAGCAGAGGAGGAGTGTGGTGTCGCCCAACTTTGGCTTCATGGGCCAGCTCCTGCAGTATGAATCTGAGATCCTGCCTTCCACGCCCACCCCTCAGGCTCCCTCCTGCCAAGGGGAGGCAGCCAGCTCTTCCTTCATAGGCCATTTGCAGACACTGAGCCCTGACATGCAGGCCTCCTACTGCACATTCCCTACCTCAGTGCTGGCACCAGTGACCACCCACTCGACGGTCTCAGAGCTCAGCAGGGGCCCCATGGCCACCGCCACATCCTGCTAGAACTTAATGGGGCAACCCGCCCAGCCCCAAGAACAACTGTGATTTTGTTTTTTAAACTCGTGAACATTTCATACCTGTGCAATACTGAAGACCCTGCTCTGTCCCACCACCCCAGTGGGTTGGTAAGGGGTCACCAGGCTTGCAAACCAATTTCAGACTGACCTCGGGGATAGGTTCTTGGGAACTGAAGGAAGGCCAAGCCATCACAAGAGCACAGCCTGTGCTGACTACTGTACTTCCAGACCCCCTGCCCTCTCAGGACTGCCCAGTCCTGGCACCTCAAAGTTCGCCTTTTCATTTCAAGCGTAAGGCAATAAACACCTGCAACAACCTGGGAGAAAGCAGTTGCTAGACTGCAAGAAAAGGCAGTTATGATGCCACTGCATCCTGAAGGAAGCACAATCTCCACCTTACTTTTTTAACTTTGGCAGTCTTCGTACCTGTCTGTCGCTTCAGGGAATAGCTGATCATCTAGTCAGGAAAGGAACACTCCAGGGTTCATAGGGACCCAATATATATGCCCATTCGAACCCTCATATCTTTTTGAGATTTTCTCTTGGGTCCCATGGAGACAGTTTGTTGAGGTAGCAAGACATTGACATTTCTGGGTTGCCTTTTCACTGTGGGTTCTTCCCTGACTTTGGACTTTGGCATGACTCTTACTCATACTTGAACCTTTCTCGTTGCACCTCTACTCAAAGCAACTCTTGTATCCTTTTGAAGAGTTTTTAGACCATAGACCAAAAATCACCCGTTTGAGGTGGTGGCAGCGCGTACCAGGAGAAAAAGGGTAGCTACTGCCCGGGTCAGTGTCATTGACAGTCTTTTCCCCAGCTTGCTGTTCTTGTATGTGCTTGTCTTGTCTCTTGTGACACTTGTTTTCCTCCTACCCGTGAGGGTTGTCTTCAAGCTGTTGATTTCACAGTGTGGTACTACTTTTTTGTCTATAGGTTATTTCTCCAGGGGAAAGGCAATAATTTCTTTAAATCCATACGAATGTGAAGAGAAGCAGTATGTAACTGGTTGCTGTTGTTGTTCTCGGTTTTTTATAGTGTAAAATAAAAATAGTAAAAAGAAACTTCTCCATGTTGGTGAATTGGGGTAAGGGACAAATAAATCCATTCAGGGGGAAACCGGCCAGCTTCACTGGGTATTATTTCCAGAGGCACCGGAGGGTGATGGGTGGTGGATTGTGGCTGTAGGCGTGAGGCTGCGCATCTGCTCATGAGCTAGTGACATAACAATACAGAACAGAATGCCTTCCAACGGAGAGGCTTCCCTAAGCTCTCTTGCAAGAGAAATCCTTGTGTGCAGGCCACGGTGAGGTGGTCAGCGCATCTGCTCTCTCTGGGCTTTTCACTCCCATGAGCCCAGGCTAGGAGTTCAACTGGAACCTCAGATTTTTCATCTATAAAATGAGCGAACTGAGGTAGATGATCCCCAAATCTCTGAAAACTCGAGGTCCTGGATTCCAGCACACCTGAGCACCGAAAGGCTTGTGGTCAGCCTTTCGCTGCCAGTGCCTGGCACGTGGCAGACACTCAGCAAAAGGGAAAATGGCCAAGGAATGGAGAAGTGAACTAGGTGAAGGTTCACCTTGAGTGCCTGGGCCCCACGCCCCACCCCATTTTACCCTTGGAACTAATTCTACCAGATAATCTCAGGAGTTCCTAGATAAATCCCTCAGTAGGTTTAAATCCAAGGCAGCATGGGTAATTGCCTTCTGAGTAATTTCCTTTGTACTGATGTCTCCCCACAGCTGGCTATACCTCCACTCCAGCCTCAGTCTAACTTTTGGGGCCTGTTTCCTAATAAGAGGGAACAGAAAACTGGCTGGGATTTATGCCACTCCAGTCAGCTGGTGCCTGGCATGAGGATTCCAACCACACCCCTAGATTCTGGGGGGCCCAAAGAGGCCTCCAGCTCCCCTAGCAGGCACCATGTCAGCAAATACCAAGATGGCTCCTGAGCCCAGGGTAGCCCACCTCTTTCCAGACATCTTAACCTCCAAGGCTTTCCTCGGGGCCTTGTTTTCCACATGCCTTTTTTCCCCATAATTTGCTTGGAAAGCCCTCAAATAGTGCCATGCAGTCTGAGGAGACAGCATTTCCTTCAGCCCATGCCCCTCATCTGCATAATCTAAGCAGGGCTTCCATGGGAGGGAAGTGGAGTGGAGAACACTAGACAGGGAGGGGGAGTCCTGGGTTCTAGTCCTCACATACCCCCAAGTCCAGAGCTTTGGAATTAATCTCCAGCCTCTGGACTGAACTTCTCCAGGGCTTGGTCCAGCTCTTGCTGGAGGTCCCTCCTTAGTTTCATGTCTCTGAACCAGTGCTCAGCCTAGTGACATGTCTGGGAAGCCTGCCCATTGTTTGGGCCTGTCCAGGTGCTGAGTGATGGGAGGGGCCTCAAGCTGGGAGCACCAGGCAGTGGGAAGCTGGGTACAAGCTGGGGTGATGTGCTAAGCCTCATCCCACTTGCTGACATTTGCTTTATTGCATTAAAGTCTTTCTCTGAAGGGTGAGTAAGTCGTCTAAATCGGGCCTGTGAGGATTACTCATAAGCCACTGAGTCATTGGAGGGTAAGCCAAGTGAAGCCCCACAGGCGGGCATGGCTCTACCTCTCCCTCCCCGAACAGTCTCCTCATCAATTACAGCTCCATTTTGGCCAAGACCAACTTTACACTGGCTTCCAGGGCTGGCTGGGGGATTAAAGTTGGTGTTTTCCCGTTTCTTCATGCTCAGGTTTTGAAGAAACACCTCTGCTGGCCTCCAGCAACATTTCAGGTAGAGCTGTGTCTGGGAGCGTCGTGGTGTTAGTTGCTCGCTATTCCGATTTCCTCTCAGGTGCATCCTAGCTCCTGAACGGGGGCCCGACAGGGGCAAGCAACATATGAGCACAGCCTCACGCCCAGGTGCTGGCAGGAGCTCTGTGTACCCATGGGTCTCCTTTGTGTGAGGACTGGGAAAAATGCACCCCAGATCTCAATGCCCTGAGAGGCTGCATGTATCTCTCTGAGTTTGTGGTGGTTTGTCTTCTGAAGGCCATAAAGCTCATGATTGCCCTTTTCCCTCCTTGCTCAGGCCACTAAGCAGCCCAGAACCAAATTTTTAGCCTTCCTCTGGCAATTTTATAGGCCCTTATACCTTAAGGTTATACCTTATACCTCATTCTTTAATGAAATAACTCCTACTGGTCCTTCACATCTCAACTCAAACTTCGGGGAAGCCCACCCAGAAGCCCAGACTAGGTTAGATGTCACCATTCTATCACAGCTCCCTATCTATACCTCATTTTCATATTTCACCAAGGCTTAAATGTTATTCATTTATCTGTGATTATTATATCAGTGCATCTTTTCCAGACTACAGATGCCAGGAGAGCAGAGACTGCATTGTGTTTCAAGAGGGACCCATCACAAGGACTGATTTATAGTACATGGTCAATAAATATTGGTCATATGAAGGAGTGAATGAATGACAAACTAGGAATGAAAAACTGTCCAAATCAGAAGCTGCTCTCTATCTGTCTCAAAGCCCATACTACCCTCTGCACATGAGCATCATTTACCCCATGACATTTGCCAACTTCCTTCCCAATCCTGGAGGAAACAGGCTTGCTAGAGTTAATTATTGCTACCCTATTGGTCAGAGTTTATGTCACCACTTCACCTCATTGGTCACAAGACAGCCCTATGGGTGGGCTGCCCTTGGGTCAGGTGTCCACCTTGGACCAATCCACTTCCTCTAAGTTCATACCCTTGCCTAGCTCAGACTCGGTGAGGTGGGGCTGTAGATGGGGCAGTTTCAGCTACAAGGGGTGGAGATCCTGCCACACATACTTGGCTAACTTGTCATGTAAAGTGCCCAGTTAACACCAGAAGACTGAGCTTTTGATAGGAAGTCCTAGAAAACCAATGTATAGCCTATGCACAATAACATTCAACCCTACCCCTGTTGTCCCACCCCCACTGAGCACCCTAAGGGGATCAATTATGGTACATAAATGTAAATTCTGGTAGCACTTATTTATAGTAGCAGCTCAGATCCCTTCCTGAGCACACATGTACCTCACCCACTTATAAAGTTTACAGAAACCAAGAAACCACTAGGTGGGAGCTTAAAATAGACCCTTGAAGCATCTGTACACTTTTCATTCTAAGCTTCACTAACAGCCAGGAGAAAATGTGCTGCTGGAGAGGAACAAACCGCCCAAATGGTGAAACCTCCAATATGTCTCTGTGGAAGGAAAATGAAAAAGTTATATCTAGCCTTCAAGGAAAAGGACGGTGGACTTAGAACTGGGAAGCATAGCTGCCAGATTCCAAGGAACTTGACTGCTCAGGACCTTTTAAAAGATCTTCAAAAAAAGCACTTATTTGAGGCAGGCTAGGTGCTGGATGCTTTGCATGTGTTCTCTCATTTAAAATCCACAAAATCCTGCAGGATGGATATTGTTAGCCGTGTTCACAGGTGAGAAAACTGAGAAGTTACACACCCAGGCCAGGTTGCACAGCTAGAGCCTGTGAATGTCAAAGCCAAGATACCCAACTTGCACTGGACTCCCAAGGACATACTCTTCTCCCTGTGCTTCACTGTTTCCCAGAAAAGAGATTCAAAAGCTTCTCAGTTAATGTCTTCATGTCTATAGACAGTACCTTAAATGTGGTTACAAAATCTGTCTTTTGGAGAGCGGGATTTCAAGTGATCTCATTGTAACAGTTCATTCACTTTTCAAACCTTCTTCCAAGGTTACTAAATTTACACTTGGGAGCTGAATTTCAAGTGGGACATGGACAAACTAGTGTGTTTACAAATATTGGGCAATGAAGGGATTGAGACTTTATGAAGAAGAATCAGGAAAGGTAGTGATGTTTGGCCTGGAGGGGAGAGTCAATGGCGTGTCTAACTAAAGTTGTACAGTGTAGTGGCTAGGAACTTGGGCTGGGGTTTCAACACCCTGAGTTTGAATTCTGGCTCTGCTACTTGCTAACTGTATGGACTTAGACAAAGTACTTCACCTCTCTAAATCTCAAAGTTATTATCCATAAAAGGGGAATACTAAATGAATCTACCTTATGGGTACAATTTTGAAGAGTAAACATGATGAGAAATAATTGCCTAGTATGAGGGTAAAGACATAATAAGTCCTCAGTGAATAGCGGTCATGATTATTAATTACAATAATTGCAGCAGCGAGCTACCCATTGCTGTGAGGGTTGGGCAAGCAGAAGTGAGGTCTCTGTTGGAAAGGCTGTGGTGGAGAGGATTTGGGCCTCAGGGCCTTTGCACACACCCCTCCCTCTGCCTCCTCCCTCCCTCCTTCACCTGCTCATTTCTGAGCCTCCTTAGTACCTCACTCGTGATTTCATTTCCTCTGGGAAGACTCAGATTTCAGGATTCTATATTAAATGTTCTCCTGGCACATATACACCTTCCTTTCAGAGCACTTCACAGTGGGCATTCATGGTGTCCATAATTTTTAAAGATCAGCTTCATTGAGGTACAATTTACATAGTATGAAATTCACCCATTTTAATTTTAGTTAAATGAGTTTTGACAAATGTACATATTCAGTGATGTAACTACCACCACAACCAAGATATAAACTATTTTATTCACCTCCCAGATTTCCTTGTGTCCCTTTGCATTCACTCCTCTTTCCCCACCTCAGCCTCTGGCAGTTCAATTGTCCCTTTTCTAGAGTGTCATATAAATAAGATCATATAGTATATAGGTTTTGAGTCTGGATTATTTCACTAAGCATAATGCATTTGAGATTCACCCATATTGTCACGAGTACTAACTATTCATTCCTTTTTATTGTTGTAATAATATTGCATGATATGGATATGCCAGTATTTGTTCATAGGTTACCCATTGATGGACATTTAGGTTGTTTCCAGCTTTCAGATCTTATGAATAAAGCTGCTATGGACATTCATGAGTATATTTCTGGACATATGGTGAGTATATATTTCATTTTACAAGAAGCTGCCAAACTGTTTTTTTAAAGTTGGTTATTCCATTTTGCATTCCTACTGTTAATGAAGGAGAGCTCTGGTTGCTCACATTCTAG